GAACACCAGCCAGTCTCGCAAGAGGGTGCTTTAACCACTGCACCGCAGAAGGTAAGGTATCATTACATACCCAAGTAAAATCATTAAAGTACATACTTGTTCATCTAGTACTATAGTGCCAACCAATGTACTAGTACTAGTATCAGCCAATGCAGCAACTACAGTACTGTACATGTAGTGCCCTACCTATTACTCATACAGTACATGTACAGTACCACAGTCCTCGTGTTGCATTCAAACAACATGTACTCTAGATAACGTACAATGTGCCGACTCTTAAACCAGTACCACAGCATGCCTTCAACGACCACAAGATTGTAAACCCTGCGACAAGTAGTTATAGGAGTATAGTACTAGTACGTTTAGTTGTCGTTGTCGTATGTAGGGGAGGACCAACTACACATGCGAGTCCTTGAGACAAGTGTACTGTACGCGATCACATATTGCTAATGTACTGTAGTGCCAACCAATATTTCAGCCAATGCAGCAATTACTGCACATGTAGTAGTGTCCTGGCTATGACTCCTACAGTGCATGTACTGTCGTCAAGGTCCTGTTGCTTACAGTTTACAACAGTGAATGGGTCCATGGTGATGTTGGGGCAGAATGAAATGTGATTAAATCTTATGAGTAGGTGTCGTGTAATGCAGAATCGTGTCAAGGCATGCAGTTACCAGGATGTAGTACTGTAGTGTGGCATTAAGAACGCAACTTCCAATTCACACAGCCATATTGTATTTGTAAACGTCTATTCTTCCGTGACACACTCACAGAAGTTTTGTCCAATCTCTACCTTATTTTCTCGATAAATAACAATTTATTGAATTAAATCTGATTAAATCTTATGAGTGGGTCTCGTGTAATGCAGAATCGTGTCAAGGCATGCAGTTACCGGTATGTAGTAGTGTGGCATTTAGAACGCAACTTCCAATTCACACAGCCATACTGTATTTGTAAACACTTACTACTCTTCCGTGACACACGCACAGAAGTTTTGTCCAATCTCTACCTTATTTTCTCGATAAATAACAATTTATTAAATTAAATCTGATTAAATCTTATGAGTGGGTCTCGTGTAATGCAGAATCGTGTCAAGGCATGCAGTTACCGGTATGTAGTAGCGTGGCATTTAGAACGCAACTTCCAATTCACACAGCCATAATGTATTTGTAAACGTTTATTCTTCCGTGACACACTCACAGAAGTTTTGTCCAATCTCTACCTTATTTTCTCGATAAAAACCAATTTATTTACACCTTGATCACATACAATTGTTTAATCATATTTATGTAGTCTGATACAAGCTAACAGTTAAACATATTAACTGAAAATCGCTAAAATAAATGAACTCATGGAATGGTTTATTTGATATATTCGTCGCCTTTTGTCATGGCACAATTAGCTCATTGGTAGAAGCTTGGAGTGGCAAAGGGCGGTGGTTCGAACCCCTTCGTAGAAGTTCATTTTCTTGAAATCAAACTCCTTTTGCTACCCGCACCACACATCAAGAAGCAATCTTAACTTCGCCAACGTGGCAGCCCTCTACAATACCTAGTACTGTAGCAGCAAAAAACTGTTACTACTTGGACCCATTGATGTCTGTGACTGTATACAGCAGTAAGATGTATTTAAAAAGTACCGAGGGGGGCATTGAAGCTGAGGGGGGATCATAGTACAGTAGTTGAGGGGGTAGCAGGGGGGATGGGGGATTCACTATTACTGTCACCAATCAAAGCCAGATAGATCGTCCAGGGTATTACGTACATAGTATAATCACTATTCACACCCTCAGCTACTATGCTTCCCCTCAGCTACTACGCTCCCCCTCAACTACTGTACTATGCTCCCCCTTAGCTTCAATGTCCCCCCTCAGAAGTTATATAGCTTGCATGATTAGCAGGGAGTAAACTGTCTGTTTGACCGCAGCTAGCAGCAAGGGGGGTGGGGGATTCACTATTACTGCCAATAATCAAAGCCAGCAGCAAGTTATACGGTGCATGCACACCATCATATTGGCTTCAGACGAGTAGCGGTGTCGGGATGATGTACCATCATATAGTTGCCTTATCACCACATTCGTGAGTTTGCTACATACGGTACCACTAGAACATCTCAGCAACACGAACATCATTGTAGTGTACTAGTATTTCACATGTATACTAACTAGTATGTACCCAGCTATGCCTACAATGCATGTAAACTCTAGCTAACACACGCTGTGCCGACTCTAGTACCAGTGCCACAGCATGCCTTCAACGGCAACAAAAATGTATACCGTACGACGAGTAGTTCTAGGTGTACACTAGCTTCGAGGCTATCCATAATGCCCTACATCTAACCACCGTACTTTAGAATTCGCTTCGGTATGCACCCAAACCCCAATGCACGCAAATTCATGCGAATACAGTGTACTGTACCAGCACGTAAACCCACATTGCACTAAGCAACCTGTACCACTACACGTGAGGCACATCTATCTACAACCGAACTCTCATAGTAGTACAATACTAGTACTATCATTACCGGTAGTGTAATCCATGGCTTAAGTTGCTTTTGCATACCAAAAGCACAAACAACGGTGTCGTGCTCACAGTGTTATAATTCGCAGTAATATAATGTAAAGTTCAAACAGATATATCAGCTCCAACAGTGTCGTGGTTGAGATATGTGGCGGCGTTGCTAATGCCCCGGGTCCAAATCCCGAAACCAATCGTACTTTTTTGTACTTGTGAATGGTTGTCCGCCTTGTAGTTCTTGGACTCGCAAAACCCGCACGTCTTCGCTGACCGCTTGGCTTGCTTGTCGTAGGGGGAGGTCGTTGTTTTCCGGTCTTCCTTGAACTTGGTCTTGGCCTTGTCCGGCTTAAACGGAGCCGCGTTGGGTTTTACATTTTCCAATCCCCGAATAAATGAAAAATCATTTTCGATCGTGGTGAATGCTGCTTCGACATCTTCGATGCTTTCAAAGACCCTGACCCCGTATTTCTTCCGAAATTCGATTTGGAAATTCGTGGGCATGGCGCTTTTGTAGATCTGGAGCTGGTCGTTGGTGGACAGTTGCTCCTTCTCACTAGCTTGTAGGATGCTGAGTTTTCGTAGCCAGCGGTTGAACTCCACAGAATACTCCGCGACCCGTTGGTTGCCTCGCTTGCGAAGGCGTCGGAGCCTCTCCAACAGTATTTCGCGCGTCCCAATTGGACAATGGAGCTCTGTGAGGAAGGCCATCCCGAGCTGGATTTGTTGGGTGTACGGCAGGTTGCGGTTGTTGGGATGGTTAGTAGTACTGGACAGGTACTTGTCGAGGTGGTGCCCGTGCAAGAGTAGTTGGATGTCGTCGTGAAGCGCCTCCATAGCGCTCTCGTCGTTGAATTGGTACTGCATCCACCGCGTGTAGTCGAACAAGTTCAACCCAAACACCAACCACGCCTCCCAGCCGCTGCCGGTGAACATCCTCATGATCTTCTTTGCCTTGCCACCGTTTGCTCGTGTGTGAGTGAACTCGACTTCTTCCTTGTTGGTCATGGTTCGTTCTTGAAATGCCAAGAGTTTCTTCAGTTGTGGTAGGATTCGCTACTTCGATTGATTAATCAATATGTCACGTCTCCCTGATGTGGTCGATGTGATGCTTGGTAAAATGGAAAGTGATTATCGATATTATCCACTATGACTTGAAGGACGCCGTGAGAGACGTCGTGAGGGACACGCAGAGATATGCAGAGAGACGACAGGTGTGCACGAGGTGTCACTAGGGGTATTGAACGACCAACACTCCTACTCCAACATTCATGTTGCCATACGGCACGACATTCCATCCATGTGTGTGTGTTTTCGTCCAATCAGAGTGTATGTGGAAATCCCGCCAGTCCTTACATCTCATTTCATTATTTCCTCAAGTTCGATGGGGCAGCTGCGTCTGAGGGGGCCGGAGGCAAGAGGCTACACAGTGGCGGCGTGACAACGTGAGCTCGACGGCGCCGACAAGAGGTTACTTGGCGATAACGCCACAAGGCGATCTTTGTGTTGTATGTACTGCATTCAAAGTCGATCGCTGTGGTCGTAAGGATCCAACCTTGAGATGGTGCATACTGTACACTACAGGTAATTGCGTTGTTAAGGTGTTTACTATACACACATGAGTTAAATGATGTAAGAGGAATACGAAGACTCATTCACTTCACGGTGACTACATGTAATCTTGTCACCACTGTCGTTCTAAAACTACCTTGCATGTGATTCTCCACTGTTGCCTTGTAAATGCGGGATTATTCGTATAATTCTGAAGTGGTTGGGCATGCATGGCAGATGCGTAGTGGTGTGGCAGGTGCTGGCGTCGACATCCTTGCGTGGTTCATTCGTGTGCGGGGCTTCATGGTGGTTGGTGCTGACATGGCGGTGTCTGCCGTCATCGAGGAAGGAATACTCAATGACGGCAGACGCCACCGCCATGTCAGCACCAACCACTACATTGACGACCACCTCACTCGTCAATGTAGTGGTTGGTGCTTGACGTCGATTCGTGTTAAATTACTCTGAAAATTCAGTGCACATTAATTCTAGTAGTACTATCAGTCCATAGTAGTACTATATACTTTGAACTTACCGGTACAGTTACTCAGAGTACTCTGTCACGGCGTCCCAACCCAAAACTCAAGTAACCATGTGTGTGACTGACCATACGGGTACCTGATGACACGCCAGTATCGTAAACAAACACTTGATTATACTCCCTTGGGATCTTCCCCAACGAATACTGGTGCTGGAAGCCCATGTGTTTTCTATGTGGTTTTCGTGAAAGTTCGTGTGTATTTCGTTATTTAGTATGTGATAAAAACGGGGTCTCTGCAATGACACCATCGATTGGACCATCCAAGTCATGACAAGCAGCCATATTGCGGCGTCATTCAACCCTGTTTGCATTTCCCATCTCGTGACAGGCCACCACGACCCATGCCTCGTGCGGCGGCACATGCTTAAAGTCGAAGTCCAAAGTACTTCACGTTTCACGCAACACATTGCCAAAGCCGTCGAGGCCACTGGAAGGAGTGCACTCCGATGTATGGGGCCCAATAAATCAATATCCCCTATATCTCTGGGGGTTGATACTTCGTCACGTTACTCGACGATTTTACCCGATACACTTTCGTGTACATCATGCAAAAGCGCGCGGACTTGTACGAGAAGTACAGCACGGTCTGTAGTGACGCACGAAAACGTTACCGCTCCGACGCAATCCAGCTTTACTACCATCACTCACCACCCTGTGAGTTTGAGGTAATCCAAGAGCTCCAAATGGACAACGTTAAGGAGTACGTCAAACTCGGAGTACCTATTCAAAGCCAATACCGATACGTTTGACATACACGAATGCCTACATTCCGACCCAGTACACTGTAGCCGAGCGGGGTATGGGTATCATCGTCACCATGGCTCGCTCCATGCTACTGTATGGTAATTTACCACAGTTCTTGTGGGATGAGCCCATTCCCACGCAGTGTTCAACATACTGCCGTCAGCGGGGACACTCCGTATCATCTATGGCACCAGAGCCACCCATACCGCGCACGTTTATGCGAATTTGGCTGTGTAGCGTATACACATGTCAACAATCCCATGCGAGTGAACAAGCTTTCTCCCCAAGGCATGATGTGCATGTACATTGGCTTACCCGAGACATCTGAGGGTTCAAGTTGCTAAATCTCGACACACATTACGTGCTTAAGAGCCGCGATGTGACGTTCGTTGAACATCAGTTTCCCCTCCTAAAATTAGTCGATGACGTGAAACGTTTTCGAAGTGAACATCCACAGCGGAACTGTTTCACCGTGGAGGCTGGTACGATCACACCTCTCTATCCACCACAGTTGGGTTTTTCTTCGTGGGTCAACATGTACAGTGTGGCAAGCCCCTGTCGTACTTGACGTACCAGACATCACTCCACCTTCCCATTCGCCACCCTGACACCTGTCGTCTACAACTCCGACATAAAAGCGTCGTCGAACGTTGACCTTCAACACAACGGAGGAATATGTAACGAGTACTTCGTTCCACGAGAAGTACAGACTGCCGTACTCTGGCATGTGTGAGTAAGACATCCACCTTCACTCCAACATCATCAAATTGGGCAAACCAGTTGCTAGCAATTCTGCCTCGGCCCTCACAGTCTCGAGAAGCCGCGATAGCACATGTCTCATCCACGTCTACCCCTCTGCATCGCGTTTTCGAATGCATGACCCTGGGACTCTCAAGTTTTTTCTTGGATATCATGTTGTTTGTTCGAACTCTGACAAAGCAATCCCAATATGCAACCTCAATCCTCAAGAGGTTTAGATATGGAGAATTCAAAACCAGCCCCCACTACAATGGAGTGCAACTCAAGCTGTCATAGTCAATGTGTCCTCAGTACGATGCCGAACGCCAGTCCATGGTGGACAAACCGTACCATCCGGTAGTCGGCAGCATCATGTAACTCATGGTTTGCATTCGACCCGACCTCGCGTACGTCGTTCAACAACTGAGCCAGTTCCTTACGAACCCCGGCCCTGCGCGTTGGCAAGCGGCCAAGCACGCTCTCCGGTACATCAGAGGAACGATAGACTACGGTCTCGTCCTCGGCGGTGCGTACGATAGCTTCTCTCCGCTTCATGCCTATGCGGACAGTGACTACACTAACTGTGTTGATACCCGACGCTACGTCGCGGGCTTTGTGACATTTCACTGGAACTCTGCGATCTCTTGGATCGCTAATAGGCTGCGGAGCATCGTCCCCTCGACAAACGAGGCAGAACCCATGATTCTGTGAACCCTTCCACAAGAATGCCTGCACATCAAGTAGGCATTCGGTGAGATGGGACATCCCATCACCACATCGATTCCTCTTGACGAGGACAATCACAGCACCATCCAGATCGTGAATAACTCTGGCCACCATGGGCGTACCAAACATATTGATGTACGCTACCATTTCATCAACGACCTTGTGGAACAACACAGGTTTAGTTTTGTTTACACCGATACGCGAGATCAAGTCGCGGATATCTGTACCAAATCACTTGATGTGACAACGTTCTGCGCTTTGCACAGTCAACTAAGGGTGAGGCAGCTGCCACCCGACAGCACCCTCCGGCGCGAGCCAGGGAGCGCGAACACAGGCCTCTCAGCCCGTGACTTCGCCGACATGTAAGGGGAGGCCCTGGACCATGTCGGTTCGACATCGGAAGGTGACGGCATCCCCATGGTTACTCGATCCATTTGGCCCTACCACAGCGCGTTGTTCAGAAAGGTCCAATCGGCAGGAACCCACTGAAAGGTACATACATCGGACGAGTTAAGTCCCAAACGGAAGACGGTGTAACCAGTGGTGCTTACGCTCACTGAGCTTAACCGCCAGCCTCTTGCTGCACTCTGGGCATCTGATTCCGGTTGACAGTACGTAAAGCTGTTGGTTTACAGTCCGTACACCCTGTTCTTTTAGAGAACGTTCCCTCTGCCCTATCAGTCAGGTAACAGCAGTCTGCTCGTTGAGGTTGTTGTGCTTACTAGAGGCTTTTACTCGGCGTACAAGACAGCGTAGACTCGTCACGGAACATCATAGAACGTGGCCAATCATAGTCGAGGATTTGATTGGCTGTTGGAGGAACTGGCACATCTAGAGCCAGTTACTCCTCTGCTGTCCGAACTAATTCACTCTCAGTTCTTCGTCCACATGCTCGCGTGTCTGCTGCTGCTGCTTGCCCTTTCCACTACAGGCAAGGGCACTCGGACACGCACCACCACCCCCCATCGGTTAGGAATCTGTCTTCTCCACACTTTTTTTTTCGATAGAAGACGCCGCTACTGGACCTCGGCAACGCACGACAATTGAATCCTGTGGACGTGTGGCCGTTCCAACTAGAGAACCACTGCCGCATCGTCAGCAGCGAGCTCGAGCCGACATTTCAATGCACTCGGTTGATCCTCTTGACCACCGCAATCACATTCCGGTGGCGATTTGTGGGCATCGGCCTCATGCAAATCGGCAACGTATTGAGCATGCTCTACGGCCGGTGATGCTCAAGCAGATTCTATCGGCGATGGAGAGATTCGTTGTCTATGTCGTTGTCGTCGCTGTGTCACCATAACCCGACGAGCCAGTTATCGTCTTGCGTAGACTGTCCAAGGACCCTATCTATAAAAGTTGATATAAACTATCAGAGGTTTACCTTGGCGATAGAGTACACCAACCATACATAATATATTATATTGTCTATTTATTATGCCACGATATCCTGGATATTAGTAACCTTTATAAATATATAATCATACGGTATCGCTGGCCTTGATAAAACATACTGAAATTTGAATACATTTATATCCGGATTCGGATAAAAGCAGTTAAGTGTCCGACTCGTATTACGCAAGACGGTATGCGGATTATTTACTACAAGTACTACGTATTATAGTACTTCGAAGTACAACTGAGGCCCAGTTCGAAGTACCAAACTTCCGGAGACTCCTCCAATCAAATCACACGGAGTCTCCGGGATAAAATTAATATTATTCAGGACATAAAATACCCCCTGGGAGTCTCCGGGCCACAAACAGACAGACAATTCGTTCGAAGTAATTGTGCGATGGACTCAAACGCAGACATTTGTGGTGCTTTTGTTGCCGCTGTGCAAGCCGTAGTCTTGAACGACGGAAGAAACAACCCTGGCCCGAAGGTGCACAAGTTCGTTGTACCTTTTTCCAAATAGGAGACAGTTAAAACCAACCCAGGTTACGACCAATGGTTCCGTCGCTACCTGCGATGTCGGCGCTCAGTGTTTACGACGATTGCACGCAAGGTCGACGCCATGTGGACCCAAGTGCACGGACGACTGTACCACAACAGAACCATCTTGGTTGACGATCGCGTACCTGCGCGATACACTACTTGATGCGTGCCGATGGATACGATGCGACAGCGGTAGTCTTTGGGATCAGCAAGACGATGGCGAAAACGTACACGTTTCAAGTTTGCCAGGTTCTCTGCCAGTGCTACTTAGCCGATGTTGTTGCCATGCCCACGCCTCAAGCTGCGTGGGAGACGATTCGTGGTGGGTCCGAAGACGTCGCAGGTGTGCCAAACGCCTACGGCGCTATCGATGGAACCCTGATACCAATCAAACGGTTTAGGGACTATGATGGGTGGAATTGTCGCAAGGGTTTCCCTGCCTTCAACATGCAGGCTGTGGTCGACGACAACATGCGGTTTATGTTTGTACTCGATTCGTTCTGGGAATAAAAAGAGACAAAGCCTTGTTCCGCGAGTCCCAGTTTGGCAAACCCTGCCATCAAAACGTTCCCCGGGGTGGTTGTATTGTGGACGGCGGTGGGTGCAAGTTATACAGCATATCCTGACGCCGTTAGCCCTTCGATCTGACGAAGCCCACTACAATCTCCTACACAGCGGAATGCGAATGGTGGAGTAATATGCATTTGGGTTGTGGAAAAATACTTTTCGTATTTTTCAAGTCAATTTGTTGCATGGGTCGCCTGCCGAGATGGTGCTGCTCATCAAATTAACGCTGGTACTACACAATTGGTTTATTGACGAAAAATCAATTGAAGCAGGTATCCCTAGATTAGAAGACTATGAAGAGTGGATGCATATTAGTTGCGCCGTAGTCTACGAAAGCGAAAGAAATCGCGTTGATGGTGTTGCAGCTCAGCATCTCCGTGACGAAATCAAAACTATACCATTTTGAAAATGTAACTACGAAATAAATCAAAAACATTTCAATTGAACTTTATTGTTTGGATTCTAAAAATATTAGCAACTTCGCTTGAATTACACTCTCTAAGGCCGCAATAGTCCTTTCGTTCATCGCACCTGTTGAAACTAATATTTCCTTCGTTTCCGCCAATATTGTCGCAACTGTAGCAATGCTCGAGCCCGGAACCAAACGAAATGCAGCAGCATCGACTAGTCCTTCAGCCAACGCATCGCCCAAGGACACCAGACCGGCACCGATGTCAACCTTGGATTTGGACCGTTGTTGTCGTTGGCTCTTCAAGTCATCCACCGCCTTGCGCTGGTCTGATTGGGAAGGGAACATCATCTCCAAACTTGACGTCGCTCAATCCTCGCATGTCCCCAAACGCTACAACCATGTCATCCCAGTAGACGGGATAGTCGATAAGGATTTCGGAGTAGTTCCCCGTTGCAGCTTCCTTGATGCGAATAGCCTTGTACTTCGCACGGAAATCATACTCCTCGTTCTTCAACGACGTTGTTGTAACAGCGCTGTCTCCTTCAACAATAATGTTGAACTGCAGGCGCAGACGTTCACACAAACTGCACTTCTTTTGATTTGTGTTGCACTTGCTAACAGTAAAAGTATCCTTGAAGCGGCCGTACCGGAGCTCGAGCAAAGTAACCACCATATCATCACTATAAAATGTCGGTGGCAACGTGACTTAAACCACCTGATCTGCACACGCGGCGGCTTCGTCTTCCACAGTGGCATGCATGGCTTCTTGGAGGAGTCGTACCAGTTCCTGAAGGTCTTTCTTCATTGGTGCCTTTGCCTAGAGCGTCTTGGGCGGGCGAGTCATCTGCAAAAATGGTGGTATATAAGCGGTCCTAACTCGCACCCAATTCACAGATCAGGTGTACTTCACTAAGGTAAATACAAACTCAAGAGGAAATGTTGGTGGGAACATACCATCACTGTTGGGGAAAACTATGACTGGTTGGACGGGGACGACTGGTTGGAAGCAGTCTCTTGGCAAGAATGCAAGTTGATATCATAGAATACATAGTACGAATAGTTCATGCAAATGTCAAGTATTTAAGTACAAGTCAAAGTATCAAAGTGAACAGGTTTCATTTGGAAATCAGCAATGTCGCACAGAATCGATCCCAAGAAGACCCGCGTAGTGTGACCGGTGCCATCCTGTAAGACCAAGTGGATTACTTTATCCAACAGGTCTACGCACTACGGCACCCACAAGAACCACTGACGGCAGCCTGCCTTCCTACAGTGACCTTTTGTGCAGGGAAATGGCTGCCGTCGATCATGGAGCTTTCTTCGACCACTGGAAAGTCCATCTACATGACTCCCCCAACTACATCGGATCACCAGCGACAGTCGGCTACGACTCTGTCGTAACGGCAATCGAAGAAACCGGTGTAAGTGCCAGCGATGTAATATTTCTAATTATTGAATTTGTGTACCGCAAGCTTCGTGGCAACCCCGGAGCCATGATGCGGGAATATGCAAGGGCAAAAAACTTGAGAACGGCCGAGGAACCAGACGATCAGCCGGAGGAAGAAATATCCCAAACGGCTCCTGTGGTCGCTGGTGCTCCAATCGTGCTTGTTGTGCTCCAACGAGCGACAAAGCATCCTAAAAATAATTAGTATAGGTCGTCGTGCAAATACATTCGTTTGTGTCAAATTTTGTTGTTTACTTAAACTGAATCACAATCTCAATTGTGTGGGCATCACATTCTCGATTTTTTCAAATATCCCGATCTTTTATGGTTCGTTCAATAAATGGTCAATCAAATCAACTATTCGGCCAATGCAACATCGAATTAGAGTGTGACTTAAATTCGTGTGACACTGAACCATTTGGACTTACAAAAGTCAGTACAATGAGTAGATCGATAGATTAGCCGAATCAGCACAAGTTCAAATTTTGGGTTAAAGGACAATACGATATATGATGTCTACGACATGGAGTGGCAATACTTTACACACATATATACTATTACATATATTAGCATACGTTTTCTAGACGCACTACTTGAATGCGCATATACAAACACTAGGTAGTAGTTGTCTATATGTTCTTTCAACCGCCATCAATTTAGTATCCTAGTGTAACTAGGTCGTATACTTTATATAAAGTATACGACCTAGTTACGGTGTTCTTTCAACCGCCATCAATTTAGTATCCTAGTGTAACTAGGTCGTATACTTTATATAAAGTATACGACCTAGTTACACTAGGATACTAAATTGATGGCGGTTGAAAGAACACCGTAACTAGGTCGTATACTTTATATAAAGTATACGACCTAGTTACACTAGGATACTAAATTGATGGCGGTTGAAAGAACACCGTCAGCTCGTTTCCTCAGGACGTTCGGCCAAATTCGACGATGTTTATCGTCCCAAATCAAGGTAAAAATGTATGTTTCATGCCATTAACCGGATCATAGGTCGATTGTAAATACCCTAAACAGCCAAGTGGCCAATACCTTTCGAATTCAATTTTTTAGGTATAAAACTGTTTTATACAAACAAATCAAAATTAGGAGGGTCACAAAAACAACCACAGTATAATTATGGCAAAAAGAAATCGTCGAAGCTAGGCTCGAAACGCGGACTATGTCGTCTGCAACTTGGAATCAAACCGACACACTAACGATGCCTTGCTCTACAATGGTATTTAATTGTTATAGTACAAGATTCGTGGCAACCAATTGGGGACACCTACATAGTATAGGACCGTGCTGTGGAAGTACAGTACCGGTAAGCTCACATGTTTGCCGCCCTAGTGTGAACCCTTAACCCTTAATAGAGCCGGAGTCATTACTACCTGTACTACCTGTAGAATTTATGGTGGTAGCCACATTCGACTATGGAGTAGATAGGCTTACTGCAGTATGATGAGCATTGAAAGCTGACCTTGGGGAGGGCACTCGATTGACTATAAGTGGAGTCCATTTGCCTGTTTAGTTTGCCCCTGTGTCGAAGTACAGGTTGGGCTTAACGCGTTAATAGAGATGTTTAATATCGGTAAGTTCTGCTTGGTGGGCATACGATGTTTAGTTTTTACTTAGCTTGTGGATTCCTACCACCTTTACTAGCTTAAATTGAGCGTGATGGTGGTCCCAACTACGTGGTACTTGTTAGCTAGGCGTTGGCTGTGACCATGTTAGTGTTAATATTGTGTTGACGTGTGTAGATTTCTAACTAATTTATTCTTGATACTACACTGGTATGACATCCATGCGCAAATACTTAGTGGCCACGATTAGGCCCCCTACTGAGCATTGCAACGGTCTCAGATTCGGTGCCACCACGTTAGATTTGACAGTTGACGTTCGATTTAGATGTTACGACTCAAGCTACCTGCGATCTGTATATTTTACTTGTCGTGTTTTAAGTTATCAAAGTGCTCGAATAGTAGTGCTGCACCATTTTAACCATGAACTCAGTGAGTTGTGCAGACAAGGTCAGGTTTGTGTACTACCGGTAGTTTTTATTTTGGTGCTGTCAAGCAGTTCACAGTTAACGTTATCCTAAAGTTGCACTTGCTAAGTTGCACTTGCTAAACGTTTCGCAATACTGGTATGCTACGAATTGTAGCCATCGGATTTGACTACATGTAGCGTCTGTTCGTTTATATAACCCAGTAAACTACTCGTCAGAGAAAACTCATATAATATTGTCAACAAACTCGGGTGCTACAAATACTTCCCACAATGCGGGTAGGCGCGGCGATGATTGTCAAGAAGAATTACGACTGCAGTGTTAGAATTATGTATCGCGCACTAGTGGTAGAAATGTTGCACTAACGTTAGATAAGAAATGGAACAACGGACGGAGGAATATCTAACTAGCATACTTGGTGGAGTGCACAGAAGCGGGACTGCTTGAAAATTACGGTGGCTATGCATAGTGGACATCAAAGGCGAGGTAGCTTGGTTACGAAACTTCACATGTAGCGTCAACACCGATTACCGATAAGACTACTGGTGCGTAGAAGGTTCCCGACGTGCACTACATAGCTGATGTGAGGTTATTCGGGATGGGGCACTCCTAAAAGGATCAATCCATTCCATCAGATAGATTACTCTGCGCACATGGGATCACACATTACACGCAAAGTATTTCACTTGTCTCAGTCTTCATCATAGCAGCAAGCAACTATTAGCACTATAAATCCTATCAGTGGTAGCTCGATGAATATATTTCATTATTGACCCTGTCGCAGCAATGAATCCGCTGCTTTCAAACGAGTTTTGTTGACACTAGTTGTTGAACCACCTCTTTGAATGCTGTGAATCTGCTTATTTCTTGTACTCGCTACTTACAATGAGCACATAACGCACACATGAACAACTGGCAGAACGAACCACCACTAGCCTTAACGGCTTGGACGCTCACACTCTGGAAGTGAGCAGCCTCCTACAGCACGCTGGCGAATCACCAGAGACCCTAGCATGTATTCATTCCTTTGACACAGTCAAGAGACAGTAACGTCAGCGCCAAGCTGTGTGCGCTACTGTATCACGCAGCAACACACAGAGCATGTCTTGAACGTTGCTGCCTCGTTGGAAGTTGGCAAGGTTGGCTGCCATGTTTGGGCGACCTTTCCAAATCTGGGCATCATGGGATACTATGATGAAGCTATATATTATGATGACAGCAGTGTGAAAAAACGTGTCAGCACAGCCTAACAGTAAAGTTTGGAGCTTTCATGCTGGAGGTTGCGGGTTCAAATCCCCCCGATGACTCAGCTTTTTTACTTCGAAGTACTTTTATCATTTATGAGTTTGCAGTACAGCATTGAAGGTTGAGTTTGTCCTACAATTCTACCGGTATCAGCACCAGCTTGATGAAAACTGGATTCAAATCTGAGGCACGAACTGTAATTCACACTGGTAGTGGTGATAAATCGACGAACTCGCTGTGTATACGGTCATCATATGGTGCATGGTCAACCGTCGTCCCAATCATCGTATATCCCTATTGACTAAATGCCCCAAAAGTTTGAATTTCATTGTATCGTTTCCGTACTCATGGTACACTTATCCAATATATTGTGCCAAATCCGTGATTTGACACGATAAACAACGTGATTTTTGCATTATTCGTACACGTTAAACGACGGGGGTTTCGTGCTGACGAGGTGTGTTTCCTGTTACGTTGGTGCGTCGTCGCTTCCGCCTACGCGCCACTTGGGAAATGGACTCTTGGTAACTGTATACCAGCTGCAGCTGTCGTTGGGCAATGTGCAACTGTTGTGGGTTGTCTTGAATTTCATTGGCATGGCTAATAACCCATTCGGCCAGATTCACTATCGATTCATGCATAGCCTTGGAGGTGCCACGTTGAGTATGGTCGTTTTGTACCACTGACGTATCGTTCGGAGTGCTTTCCACATTGCCGATTGTCAAGTTCGGCGGAGTGCACGACAATGTCCAGCATGGACTGATTGGACTCCAGACTTAGCATTTCGGACTTCGACGAGGGGAAGGTCCAAAATGGGTACGTAAAGCCACGCACCTTAAACTGCGGGTCATACATCTACATCAATATATGAACTCATTGTGCACATAGCAGTCATTTAATACGCAGGGTTTCACCTCGTTAGATGCATTCGCAACCATATGTGCTAACGGAGTAAGTCTGAGTGAGATTTTTAACTCGTTTCTTATTGAAGTAAGGTGGCATGTTGGCGCAGGCCAACATCCACACCACTTGCACCATCCCCCCATGGACAACCGTTTCAATAATCCAGATAATCGATGATTCGCAAATATTCGTAAACGGCTAG